TGTCGAGATAACGAGAAAATTAAGTCGTTATAACGAGAAAACAACTCCCGTTATGTCGAGATCACGAGAAAATTAAGTCGTTATAACGAGAAAACAACTCATTATGTCGAGATCACGAGAAAATTAAGTCGTTATAACGAGAAAACAAGAAGAAAAAAAATAATAATGCATGGCCGCTTAGAACTTCCGTATATATGCCATTTTGCAGTACAAATAGTGGGAGCAGTAAAAAAAAATCCAACAAGAAGTGCACTTCTATGGTGCCCGGGAGCTGACATGTTCGATACACTTAGTTTTGTCGTGGCCACGACATAATAACTTGTGGGAACGTGATAATATGTCGTGGCCACGAGATATTAATTTGAGGGAACGTCATATTAACTCGTGGGAACGTGATATTATGTCATGGCCACGAGATAATTTTGTCAAGGTAACGACATCATTATGTCGTGGCCTCGAGATACTATGTTGATGGAACGACATCCATTTCTCGTAGCCACGACTTCTTATGTTGAGGTTACAACATATTTTTCTCGTGGCCACGAGTTTAATGCGTAAACAAACCTGCGTGACCATAGCAACCCGGGATTATCAGAGATGGATTCCTTAATATTTTATTTTTGAAATAAGAAATTATTATATTATTTATTATAGAAATGATTACATTATTAAATTATTATATTAACCATAGGCCTTAGCTACGCTGTATTACGTGCGATATTCAGCATTCAAATGAAGTTTATCATGAATAAATGTTACATAAAGTGCATAATATAAAATAGGCCTACAGGAAAACATTTTTATCCATCCTACAGTCTTGTAAGTTCATTAACTGATCGTCTTTTTTCCCGTAATATTTGTATATTATTATTATTATTATTATTAGCCTATTATTATTGGTTCGATTTTTATATTCGTTTATATTCATTTTCCCCTTCATTTCGATCTCTTTACTTAACGTTCGGAATATTTTTGTAAATAATAGCCTACTGTAAATGCTCGACATGCCAATAAAGCTTTGATTATACTGACTGGAATATTTGCTGGAATGCAGTTTAAATTTAACATATATTTCATTTTATTTTGGCTAATTAATAGACCATAATTATAAATACTATAGTGTTTCATTGAGGAATTAATCATTCACGTAATTTAATTTGTAAATGAAAACACAACACGCTCATTTATCATCACACAAGTCAAAACTTTATTGGTATAATTGTCAGGCGTTTATTTGCAAATTATATGGTAGGCTAGCAAATGCTAGCATAATTATACAAAACGTTAACTAGGTAAAGGCGATATACAAATTGAAAGGGGAAATAAGAATATATAGGCCTAGCAATAAATATAAAAATATAGCCCTAATAAGTGAATGTAATAATAATAGTATACAAATATTAAATTAAATGTTTAATGTTAATAAAAATGTTTTATCCATTTTTGATAATGGGTTGCTATGGTCACGCAGGTTTGTTCATGCATTAAACTCGTCGCCACGAGAAAAATATGTTGTTCCCTCAACATAGCATCTCGTCGTTACCTCGACAAAATGATCTCGTGGCCACGACATATTAACACGTTCTCATGAATTATTATGTCTTGGCCACGACAAAACTAAGTGAACCGAACATCAGCGCCCGGGCACCGTACACTTCAAAAATTTGGATGGACTTATTTAACAAAAAAAAAAAGGGTGGAACGTTGGACACTTCATGCACCCAACTGTCTCAGCTTTTCTTATGCATTATTACACTGGATGGTAGAATACATACTGCATAGTAATAAATAAATAAATATGTGTCTCCTCTTGTTTTGCTCAAGTTCTATTTACTTTTGTTGTATTAGCTCTGCCCCTCAAAGACTAACTGACTTCCTGGTATTGAAAGCTGCGGTTGTTTTTGGGACTAGAGTGCCAGTACTATTTTTGTCATTCAGCAGGTTTACATATTGTGTATTGGATAAAATATATCATATTTGGTGGATTTGTATTTAGGCTACTTAATAATAGTTGAGTGACAATACTCCTAGTATTTTTTTTTTCTGCTGAGTGCATCTCTTTTATGAGTAAACAATTATTTCATGATGACGAGAAACATTACTGGCATGAAATAATAATATTGCAGACTACAATATAATACTACATAAAAGCTCTTATGGAAAATAGCAGCTACTGTATAAAGTCCAGTGCTTTTTACAGCTGTAGCCAAACATGTAAACAACTGCACTCACTTCTATTTAATCTCGTTTAATTCATTATGCAAAAACTGTTGGGTTTACAGTATATTTACAAGTAGAATATAGGAAACACCTTCTCCAAAACAACGCCATGCAGAAGTTTTGGTGGTGAATTTATTCAACCCGACAACAACATTATTCAGCAAGGTTACATGGAAATGGTGCCTCTAAACCCTGATTCGGAATTCTGACTCTAATTGGTTGTTTTCGAACCCTTGTCAAAGAGTGTGAAGCAAACAACCACCTGAATAAATTCAAGCCTAAACACCCCAAACACAATTCTTTGTCACTGCAGCAAGGTAAAACGCAGTATGAATATATTTATGTTAATGTTTTGTACCTTCACACCATAGTCCAGCAGACCACCAGCATTAGCAATGTACGTGCTGATTAATCGTCCTGGGAATCTTTGTATTGATTGCACATGTGGTCTTACGAACACGATTGTTTTTACACTCCCCACGGTATGTCCTGCAAATGCTGAACTAGCCAGTTAAAGGAGGCGACCTAAACAATGATTACTATTATTCATCAGTCTGATGACTTCATGCCTGCAGAAAATGCTGTATAGAAAAGGCTTTGTGGCAGTTTTATCCCTCATAGTCAGCCAGGCACTAACATCAAGTAGAAAAGTTAATGTGCATTTCCAATTCCCATGGCTGCATGCTGAAACACACACATGCAGGGTGAGGGGTTGAGCTAAAAAAAAATCCCCCTCAAATATCAACCCTAGCCTACCCCTTAACTTCCCCCATGTGTCTCCTAGCACTATATCTGGCCAGAAACCAGGGGGCAGTTACTCAGGCAGATGGTAGCAGAGTGTTGCAAGACTCAGGCGCTGTTTGCTCTGGTTCTTGGTCTGCTGCAGATACTGGTCTGAGAGTCCAGGAAATTCCTGCAGACTCTGGGGCAGGGATTTTGGCTTGCGTGTCTGCTATTGGAAAAGCTGACAGTGTCGGAAGGGGGGATTGAAACTGCCTGGAGTCAGTCGGAAAAAGAAAGAAAGAGAGTGAGAAACAGAGAAAATAGGCCTCATGCCATTTTTAAAGGGTGTCTCGGTCTACTTTTATCTGCCTGTCACACCCTAAGTGCATTAGATTGAACTTCAGGTTGAGAGCCATGGTCAGGATGGTAAGTTTTTATTTCATTGTTTCTGACTTATGCTTTGTGTGAGTAAACGCATGTGACTTCCTAGCAGCAGAGAGACATGGCTGCGCTTAATGTGAATTGCTGCTTAATTTTTTTTAGGAATGTTTCTGTCTGCGCTAGACTAGTTGGGGTTGCGGGGTTATTTTACCACTACAATGGAACTGAAAGGAAAGGAGAGGCAGAGAAAGAGTTATTTACTCTCCTTTCATTTCAGGTCCATTGTATTGGTTTATTCTGTCAGTGCATTGTTCTCTCCGAAAAAAGTCTTGTATTAATTGGAAGCCAAAAAGTTTGTGTCCCGACAGTAGACAAAGGGTTTTCCCCGTCCCTCCCGTTTCTATCTACTTCTCTTTTTCTCCTGTCCAGATGCTACCGCTGCTCTATTTCCCCATCTCACTGCCTCCACACATTTGGTTTCAATTACTTTGGCCCTCTGGGAAACATGCTACTATAAATAAATAACAACGGGGTTCGCTGTGGAAAGATTGCAGAGTTGCAGACAGGGTTCATGGTGCTTTTTTATGCTCACACTCCTCTGACTAAAGGACACTGTAAGAAATGTGTTTGTTACAATTCTGTGATGATGCCAGGTTGGAGAAAGAAGGGCAGATAAAGAGGAAAGGAGGGGGCGGGACTTTGGCTAGAGAGTGAAGGAAACAGCTGTGAAGGTTATGGGACGTTTGGTTACTGTCTGCCCTTTAGTGTCCGAGTCAAAAACAGCTTTCCCCAACTCGGACGTGATCACGGGCCACTGAGAGTTTGAAATAGGCTGAGATCAGCCTCTGAAAGCTTTTTAAAATTCCTATGAGCTTTGTGGTATAGAAACAAGCAAAATGTGGAAGCCCGGGAAGGGAAATGAAAAGATTGCTATAGATTTTGTTTTGAACTCTTGCAGCCATGTAACTAAACACCATATAACTGATGATTCTTAATGGTGCAAATTAGGTGCATCAATATAGAATTCAACTGACATGCACTCTAAGCTATGCTTGTCCTGGCTTTTTGCAATGACTTTAAAATGTGGCTCATCTTCATATTTATAATGTATTGCTGTTTTAAGGCTCTTGATTTTATCTCTACTGTTATACAATATGGAGTTAATTTCAAGGTTATTTTCGTAAACGAAAACGAAAACTAAGACGAAAACGATTGATCAAAAATACATATTCGTAAACTGAAATAAAAATGTAAAAATAAATGAAAAACTAAAACGAAACGAAACTAACAAAAGTTATTGAAAAGCTAACTGAAATAAAATAATAATTATAAAAAATAAATAATCGTTTTCGTAATCATTACGTTTTCACCCCGTGGCGGAAAAATATATGAGATGTGTGGCGGTTTAGGGAAATACCTGTAAATGGTGCATCATGGACGTGAGGTTATGCTGACGGAGAGACGCAAAGCAGTTTAAAGCAGATCCTGCACGGGTCCTGTTCGGTAAACCCGCACCAGCAGTACTAAAAAGAACACCCGACCCGTTATCAATATCCGACAGCAGCACTAATTTAATTCTGTACCCGACTCGTTTGACATTTTTTGACCCAAACCACACTCACATTAAATCTACTACATCAGGTAGGCAAAATTATTTATTTTCTCGTGTAACACAAGAAATCAAACCAACATTAGGCATTCTAAGTCGATGTTTTGAAGAAAAATAGATAAGTAGCACAATATGGTAATTAACAGAAAAAAAAGATGAAAACATGCATCCATTCTGTAAACAATAAAAAAACTTTTGCCTACATCTTGTGAACAAGCTGCCCTATTTTTAACAAATGTGCATAAACTACACGCTTATAATTCTTCATAAATGAAAATAACATATTTAAATGTGCCTTTACTGTTAAATGCAATTGTCTCTCCTCTGCTATATGTGGCCGTTGGTCCTTTATAGAAGGTTTAAAAATAAAACTTATAAAATAAAATTATATATAGGCCTAGGATATAGAAAGCGAGCAAAGAGCGCTCCCTAAGCTGTCATTCACTTCAGCTGCAGCGCGAATGGTTATAATGCAACGCTGCAAATCAAATTGTAAATAGAAATCTTTGACGAATAAGCACGGGACCGTTTGAAGGCAGCTGCCTATTAGCGGGTATCGAATTGAGTCTAAATAGTCTTGGCCAGGGCCGTGCACAGACATTTTGAGGGGCAGTGGCCCAAACCAAAAAAGGGGCACTATAGGGGGGTGGGTGCTTGT